TAGTAATCCGGAAGCTCGGGTAAGAGTCAATTTGAAATAATTAATGGAACAAGACAGGGATGTTCAATGTCTCCTTTATTATTCGCCTTAATCTAAGAACGTTTTCTCGCTAGGATAAGAAATAACCCAGATATACATGGGATTGTAATGGGTAATTTAGAGTATAAACTGTCTGCATATGCAGATGGCATTTTATTTTCTTTAACTCAACCTTTGATTCCATTGCCTAATTTGCTTCAAGAACTTAGCATATACGGTGTCTATTCCAATGTCCGTATTAATTACTCTAAATTGGAAATTTTGTCGCTAAATTTATCTCCAGAAGCTATTTCAAGATTGTGTACTTCAAATACGTTTGCATGGACATTAAGCAATTTTCATTATGTGGGAATTCAGCTCCCAAATTCCCTGAAAAGAGTGTTCGAATTGAATTATCTACATACTTTGAAGGCTTCATTCTTGGGATAAAACTCTGTTTACTTGGGTAGGAGGTACACATATCATACGAGGATCTTATTCTTTTTACAGTCAATTCAAATTAAATTGCCGCCCTTTTTTTCGTCAAATACGCAGTTTATTTCTGCGATTTGTATGGAATAATAGAAGGCCCTGGTTTTCTTATACTATCTTCAGCCGTACTAAACAAACTGGTGGCCCAGGTGTACCAGATATCTCTCTGTACTACTTGCCACATCTAGATGCCTAAATGCATTGAGTTGCTGCCATGTGATTGGCTGATTAGCAATTTGTGTTACCAAGAAATTGAACAGGTGTACCTAATAAAGTGGCCAGTGAGTGTGTGTATATGAATATATGTAACCCCCAGACACTAATATCTCATATAATCTTTAATATGTTAATGTAATTTTCAATATTTTTACATCTACTGCTTTCAATGAAATATGAGCTGGTGATCCTGGCAAAGGAAAATGCCAGTAAATGCCTTATTGAGGCATTTCCTCTTCTAGGGTAACAATCCTTTGTCCCTCTTTCCCAACTATGTTCCTGCACTGTCACATAGGTTTCCAGTGGAGAATACAACAACGCACATTACCCAAGCATGGCCAGCACATTATACAAGCATGGCTGTCATCACCTCGAAACCGGCCATGAAGCTATGCATGGAATACGTGGACAACATGTGACTGTAAAGAGGATGCAGAGATCAACAATACTGGGATGCAATCAAAGATAAAAAAAGGTAAATGCAAGCATTTTATTAAAATCAGTCGGCAATGGTTTATGATGCACATTGCTTTAGCAAAGTATACTGTAATTGCATACAGGCAGATCTGTTTTCACCAATGACAGACAATAAAGATCATCCCAATGCATTCTTAAATTTCCTCATCAACAGCTCTAAAACTTTGAAACACACATGATGAAAGGAACAATACTAAAAAGGAATGAATGGAATAGATGGATTGAGCATGGAGGGATGATAATGAATAGAGTAAACATGTATGTTTTCTATGAAATGAGCATTCCTTACTTGCAAATTTTTCCATTGTTTTGCAATTGCGTTGCTTTGGGAATGGTAAAGTGACCTCTCACTCAACATTTTCAAATAAGCTTTTATTTTCATTTTTGTTACACATCCAAAATAATTGCAACAAGCAGTATAACCAAACATTACTATACTGTCACATTTCAGCTGTATATACTAGGAAACAAGTGTCATTGTATCAGGCATATTTTCTGACACAGAGCACAATATGCTTTGTAACAATTTTTAAACAGGAAAGTACAACAAGGGCAGAAGTGATAGAAAGGGGGATGGAAGAAAGGGACTTAACGATTGGGAGATAATCAGTAGCCGATGTACATGGATAATATCAGAATCCATTGAGGTTGTGGGGTAAAGTCTATCTGATAATAATTTGAGGTAGAGATGCACCGATACTATTTTAGAAGACCAAGTACAAGTACCGATACTTTTCCTCAAGTACTCGCTGATACCAATTACTGATAACTTTTTTAGTGTCACGTGTTGTTTTTTTTTTTTTAAACAATACAGACTAATGATTTCAGGACAGCAGTGGAGTGCTAGGGCCCAGTCACAGGTGCAACCGCTGTGACCCTGGTAGTTCTGCCACTGACTCCACGCTGTAGTGAGACTATCAGCTATAAAGGACTACATCAGCTATAAAGGACTAAGAATCCCAGCAAAACATTATAGAGCAATGCAGAATATTATGAAGCTACATACTCTTTGTTGCTCCCCAGGGCTATGCTGAGTCTCAGGCTGCGCGAGGTCTGACCAGGACGGTGCAGAGTCTGAACAGGCCAGTACAGGATCTGAACAGGGCTGTGTGCGGTCTCACCAGGGCTGTGTTTGGTGTCTCTCCAGGGCTGTGCAACTTCTCCCCAGGGCTGTGCATTCTTACCAGGGCTGCATGTGGCCTCACCAGGGCTGTGCAGCCTCCCCAGTCTCACCAGGGCTGTGTGTAGTGTCTCACCAGGCAGTTCACAGGTGTGAGCAATGTGCGGTCGGACTGGGAATGTAAAAGACAGCCACAATGAGGTCTCCACAAGGCTACCGAGGTCCCCAGCAAATGCGGGACCTCAGGCAGCCAAACCCATTAAAAAATTTAAAGCACTTAGTTTCAGGACATCTTCACAGGTACTCGTGAAAATGCCCAATATCGGCAGCAATATCAGTGCATCCCTAATATGAGGTTTTATAGACCAACCAGCATGTCCACCTCTGATAATATCTGATTTGGGTGTTACAATTATTGACATAGGTCTTCCATGAGCTCATATTATTAAAATAATGCTTGCCTATCTCTGATTAACCACTTGCTGTCCCGAGCAATTACTTACTATCTGCACACACATGATACAATCTGAATTTTTGGATAGAAAATAGTTTAAAACCCCCAAATAATTATATATTTTCTGAAAGCAGAGGCCCTGTAGAATAAAAAAATGCTAGTTGCAATTTTTTATGTTGCACGATGTTTAATATATATACATATACACACACATAATATGTTACTTTAATTTTTATTTTATTTGTTTAAACTTAACTTTATTGCTTTATTCCCAACAAGCCCCCTATGTCATAACAAAGAAAATGTGACAGGTCCTCCTTATGGAGACATCAGGTGTCCATTTTATTTATTATCAGTACTGCACTGTTTTTTGTGATTTGATAGCAAAATATTAGGGATACACCAATACCAGTATCAGTGCCAATACAGGGCATTTTCATGAGTGACACAGTATTCACAGCGCTTCCTGTGTCAGCTGTCACAACCTGAGCTGTACAGAAGATAGAGTACAATGCTGTGTTTGATTTTCTGTACTGGTGGGCTTATAAAGGGAACCTGTCACGTCCAAATTATATCACATAGGGGCTTGTTATCCCCTGTGTGATATCAATAATGTTAAGTGAAAAGAAATTAAAAAAGTGATACAACATACAAAATAACAAAATAAAAATAAAAAAATAAAAAAGCAATCAAAAAGGTAAAAAATAAATAAATAAAATACATATTTAAAAAATCCAACTCTGCCCCCTGCCATCTGCATGTGAATAAACGCATGCATAGGGCATTGTGTGTGTGTGCTGCCCTCATTCTACTGTGTGTCATATTGTGGTAGTGGGGCAGCATAATACACACAATGCACATTAAAAGGTAAGTTCACTTTCGCAAGTAATTTGGGAAAATTGAATTACCCGCTTAAATCTGGCCAACTCTCCCCTCTGCTATACTTATCTTTCAGTGAACGGTCGTTACCCTCTGCCGGTACGGGTGTAGTAGCTTTACTCCATACTGCTGTCCAGTGCAGCCCTGCGCTACGGATTTTTTATTTCACTCGCAAATTGCGAGCACTCGTTGGTTAGTGCAGTCAGGTGACCGTACTAACCTATGAGAAGCACTTCTTAGCACGGTTAAATATGGTTTTGGTTACAATTATTTTTTCAGGATCAGGACAAGTGTAATCATGGATTGAGTTACAGTTGTTCATAATTATCAAGAAACTGCCCTAAAATCATTAGTCTGTATTGTTTTAGAAAAAATGGCACATGTCCCTTTAAGAAAAAGTATTGGTAATTGGTATCAGCAAGTACCTAAGGGAAAGTACTTGTGCTTGGTCTTGAAAAAATAGTATCGGGACATCTATACTAAATTTATAAAATTGCTCTTATTTTTTTTTATTTACATTATTTATATAATAAGGACAATTACTATTTTTGTGCTATTAGTGGTGTAGGAAAACTTCAGGGGCTGAAGTTGCTTTTTGTATGATTAAAGTGACACTAAACTCAGGAGTTAAATCTTAAAAATGCACTGAAGTACCTTAACTATTTACAAAAATGTATTTTATTTGTGTATCACTCAGCTGCAGATCATCAAATCATCTCTGAATTGGTGCTGACACTGTCCTTCCTTCTGGAGGGTGGCTACTTTTGTTTCCCATGGTCCCTGTGTGTGGTGTAAAGTAGTCACAGCTCCAAGCTCGCTCCCATCATGGATTACAATCTAGTGTTTAGTTAACTAATTTGTTTTGAGATTGCAGTCCATCACGGAAGTGAGTTCAGATCCTGCAGAGACCCCCTGAGACTCTGCAGTCTGCTGGATCTCAGGGGGGCTGTGCAGGATCTGTGGTGGGCTTTGCAGGCTGCAGAGACCCCTAGGGATCCTGCAAAGCACCCCCACAGTTCTACCATGAAGGGCATTCAGCTAGTGCGTCCGCCCCATCTTCTGTCTCTGCCCCCTGCTGCTCCGTCCCGGTTCCCGTCTACCATGAAGGGCATTCAGCCTGTGGCGTAACAACTGGGGGGGGGGGTCGGTGGTTCTACGCCCCCCCCCCATCTCTGCGCCTGGGGCAGCACTGGTCAGCACCAATTCAGACATGATTGGAGGATCTACAGCTGAGTGATACACAAATAAGATACATTTTAGTTAATAGTTAGGGTACTTGAATGCATTTTTAAGATTTAACTCCTGAGTTTAGTGTTACTTTAAGCATACCAAATTTGGATCACCCTAAACATCGTTAATTGATTTGTGGAGCTTTTCTTGAACCTTTTTCAGTGCCTTTTTAAATTCTCGATTTCTAAGACTATATATAAGAGGATTTAAAATTGGTGTTATAACAGAGTAAAACAGAGATACAACTTTATCTTTATCAGAAAAGTAGGAAGCTCTTGGGCGGACATACATAAAAATGACAGTTCCATAGAAAATGATGACCACAGTTAAATGAGCAGCACAAGTTGAAAAGGCTTTCTGACGACCAAGCCGGGATGGAATTCGAAGGATGGTCTTAATTATACTGGAATAAGATACTGTTGTAAAAATAAGTGAGCTTAGCACAACTACCCATGCAAATGAAAAGAAGACGGTCTCACTGATGGATGTGTCAGAACAAGACAGTTTTATCAGAGGGATATAATCGCAGAAAAAGTGATCAATGAGATTGGGTCCACAAAAACTTAGCAGAGCGGTAGGAATAGTTAATGTCCAGCCAGTAAAGAAGCCACTCATCCAGGAGCCTATAGCTAAGTAACGGCAGATCTGACTGTTCATCATTGTTGCATATTGTAATGGAAAACAGATGGCTAGGTATCTATCATAAGCCATAACCGTGAGTAAGAAGAATTCAGTAGGTCCTACAGAGTGAACAAAGCAAAGTTGAGCAAGGCACCCAGAATGGGAAATGAGCTTATCTTGTGTGATCAAATAGCTGAGTGTTTTAGGAATTACAGCAGTTGAGCACCAGGTGTCCAGCACAGCAAAGTTACTGAGGAAGAAATACATTGGGATGTGAAGATGAGAATTTAAGCAGACTATGATAATTATGAGAAAATTGGCCACCAGAGTTAGAATGTAAATGACCAAAAAAATTGCAAAATATAGCATCTGTATTTGAGTATTGCCTGGGAAGCCAAGCAAAATAAAAAATGTAACTTCTGTTTTGTTCCCATGAAAGAGAGCTTTTTGATGGGAGCTCATCTGTGGAGAGAAGGCACAATGAGGGGTGTTAGGAAAAACATTTCATATTGTCATATTATGTATTGCTGCATCATAGCCCCAACTGTCCCTCTTTTTCATATAAGTACCTCGGTCTCTCTTGCCTCTACAGTTGTCCCCATTTTTTTATGCATAGGCATATTTAACTTTTTTTGCACTAAACCTTATATCCAACCTCTAAATTATTTAATTTGTTATTTTAGAAAGCCAATATTCAAGGAAAGTAGTGGTAAAAAAACCCCGAAACATTAACCAATTATTTTTTGCATATTAAAAAATAATATGTCTACCAGGGCGTGTGACAGGGTCGTGTCATTTGCTAATATACTTGTGCTCTAATTCATATCTCAAAAAGTCAGAAGGTCTGTTACTCAGAGCCTGTTTTCAGTCTGCAGTGAAATAGGAAGATCAAAAGGGTTGACCTGTTTACAAACTACTCAAACTAGGTTTTTAATATCGCAATGCACATTGATAAGTTTCTATACATTGTTGGCTTCTGTAGTAAGTTTATCTTGCTGAATTATATTTTACTTCCATTTTGTAATTTTCTAACAACAGGCACTTACCGTATTTGCCAGCGTATACGATGGGTTTTGAAACCTTAAAACATCCCCCAAAATCAAATACAGTATTTTAAATACAGTATTTTATTTTTAAAACACCCTGGAAGTAAAATTATACATTCTGAATGATTGAAACATGCTGAATGATGATCGTCTTCTGTAGGCCTTACCTTTGAACATGGTATGAAATTGAATAAATCACTGCGTGGGGTAGAGCCACTTATGCATTGCAGAGTGTTTTGAATATAGTCTGCGAAAGGCTTTCAGCGAAATAACTGAAATACGAGGCTTGGATTTGAAGTCTTATATCTCCATTCTCAGGATGTAATGAAGTATTTTAATTGCATGTCAAAATGTATCCAATGCCTCCAGGGCAAATTAAGAATGCAAAAAGTGAGCCCAGGGATCAAGCTCATGTCCCAGAAGTATACCTGAGATCTAGGGGGAAATTAGCTGCTTTACGGCAATAACAAGCCCTATTTGTTTGTATTGTGCACATAAACACACACACACACACATATATATATATATATCTATATATATATATTTGAAAAAATAGTGCTTCCAGCATTTTTTCAGATCGCACTGGACCGGAATGCAGGCACTGATGTGCCACGCCTTCTGGTGCGGGCGATCGCACTGCGGACGGGAGCGTGGCTGCGGTGCCATTTACTTTAATGCACCGCCACGCCCCCTCCTGCCACAGAATGCAGGAAGCCGGCTGGAATGCGATACAGTGCATCTGGAATGCACTGTTTATGGTGTGAGCCGGTCCTTATAGCTTACAGCTTAAAATCTGGCCCTGATGGATGTTAGTCCATTTGTATGCATATCGTTTCCTCCACAGAAACTGCCACCTGTGTCCATGTCCACACGACCAGGTGTATTGAGTGCCATAGAAGGCCCACCACCTCCTAGGTGAGCATTGACACTCATATGAGAATTAACAACTTCTAACGTCTGTGACACAAACTCGTTCATGTCTTCGATAGGAGCAATCTTAAAAGCACCTATACTCCTCTTATTCTAAGGCTAGGTTCACACTTGCACTACACTGCACGAGACCCGGGACTCGCGTCCCGGGTGTCGTGCGGTCCTGCACAATGCAGGCAGCGATTGCCACCTTTTTTTGCAATACACAATGCTCGGCTAAGTTCAGATCGTGTCCGGAAGCACGGGCAGAATCGCGGCGGGAGACAGCGCGATCCGCCCGGTGCAACTGGGGTGCCATTTGAAAATAATCGCACCCGCAGCGCGATTGGTTCACACCTTGGCGACTCCTGACCGCGCAGCAATCCGCGCAGAATCGTGCACGATTGCCGCACAGTGAGGTGTCACCGAGGTGTGAACCTAGTCTGAAAGGAATAAAGGTGACCTGACACTTTCACATAACTTCCAGGATGCAGAACTACATTTTCACAGCTTTAGGCCCGGCGCAACCACAAGTCAAGCGGCCGCTTGAGGGCGCCCAAGGGGTGAGGGCGGAAATAATAGTAGCAGTGACAGCATGGACGGAGCACCGGGCTTTGACCGCCGCCATTGTAAGCTCGTCCCCGCCCCTACCTTCTCCCTGGTGCGCACGCTTCGTGTGTGGCTGCAGCATAGAATAGGGATACAGACTTTGGCTCCTGTAAGCATTATATTATTCAGCGTAGGCGCGTGCGCACACGCACAATGCACCTTCGCCTGAGTTGGCAAAAATCCTTGCACCGGCCCTGCTCACCTCTCTCCCCCTCCGCTGTGGTATGTCCCACGGCATTCTCATGTCTAATGAAGGTGAATGGACTGCATTAGCTGGGGTTAGACCCCCGGAGTCCGGGGTGAAGAGTGTGTGGGGACCAGTCTAGCAGCCAAGTGGGATTGAGGATCTGGGGAGTATATCTTCTTCTATTTGAGCCCCTAGACCAAAATGAGCAGTTAACCCTTACAGTGCGGGAGTAGCCCTACTGCAAAGGTGGGATTAGCTGTAGAAGAAGACAAAAAAGAGGACACATTTGCAGCTGCTTATGTCACTGCGCTGCTCTGCCTGGGAGAAGGAGGAGGAAGGCTTGGTTATCCACTCCCACACCTCCTCCACATGCTCTGGCTGCATAGCATGCCCACTGCCACAAAGGAAGGCAACCGTGCCCTACTTCACAAAAGTGTGTCCTGACCACTGCTTTGGCTTGCAAATACAGAACCTGCTTACCCACTATTAGCTGTGCGTAAAGAGCCTCTGCCTCTCCCTTTAGGCCTCCCATGCATAATGGAAAGATGGAAGATTGCTTTTATTTTAGGGATACACCAAAATTTTGGCTGCTGAAACATATTGGCCGAAAATGGCACTTTTGGCAAAATGCCGAAATTGCCATCTTTCAGCCAAAATTGCGCTGCAAACCCGGTTTCTCTCCTCCCCACTGGGCGCTGCTCTGTGTCCCCTCTGACACAGCGCAGCATCCAGCGGGGAGGAGAGAAACTGTCACAGGAGGCTGAGCGGTGAGGGGGAGGAGAGCGATGGGAGCGGCCAGTGTGTCACAAGAGGCCGGGCTCCGCCTCCTGTAAAGGTCAGGAGAGTGGTGTGGGGCCGTAGACAACTGTCAGCTGTCACAGGAGACCGAGCTCTCCTTCCCGCACCACTCGCTCAGCCTCCGGTGAAAGCAAGTCAGGATGGATAGCGGGTACAAGCAGTCAGTGATCAGTGATCACTGACTGCTTGTAAGAGGACAGAGTATGTTTACTGTGTCCCCAATTATGAATGAATTATGAATGAATGACCTACATCACTTCCTGTTCATTCATGATTGTGGACATGGTAAATACTATCTCCACAAGTTATGAATGAACAGGAACACTCAGTATAGAGCAGGGGTGGCCAACCTCCGGCCCACCAGCTGTGGTGGAACTGCAAATCCCATGAGGCATTGCAAGATTCTCACAGCCACGACTCCTGGAGAGAGATGCATCGTGGGATTTGTAGTTGCACCACAGCTGGAGGGCCAGAGTTTGGCCGCCCCTTTTATAGAGGATTCCTATTTATTTATAACAGGGGCTGCAGCAAAAGAGATTGAGGTCTCTGTGTCCTCAATCTTTTTCTATTTTGAAAGGGAAATATCAGGTGTCTGTTTAGTCCCACAATATTTCACCAAAGCCCAACAGCACCAATATTTCACAATGAATGATGGAAATTACGACTTTAGAGCCAGTTAGAAGCTGTGCTGCTTGCTTAGGCGCCCATTGACTTTGGTGGTCAAGTCACATCATGCCCCCCCAATTATTTTTTGTCTAATCTGTTTTTTTAAGCAACTTTTTACATATCTTTATAATTGTTTCAGTGCACATAAAGGGATATATAATAGGTATATATATACCCAGTTATGCAAATATGACCCTTGCAACACCCCCCTGCCCCGTTCATCTGCTGGCTAGATTCCGCTATTGGCTATTTCAAATTGCGATAGCTGATAACAGGCTGGCTATTGCACACGCCCACTGCCCGTTGTTTACATTCACCTGCCAGCTGTGGAATCTAGCCGTCGGCCGCAGCAAGATGTTAACAGAGAATTCTGTTAGCAACTAAATAAATGTAGTAGCTAACAAAAGTTAGCGTTTGTTAGCTATTTTAGACTTCTAGTATGCTCATATCTATAAAGCAACTAGCAAAAAAAATTAAGGACAGATTTTTTTTTGCTTCAGATTTCTGGTTGCTTGAATGCCGGATAATGGGGAGTTTACTGTAAATGGAAACATCTGTATATGTGAAGCATTACTTTCACTGCTCACGCCAACTCAAATACCAATAACATTTTTGATTTAAAGTCATATGTCATACCCAAGTAACAAATAAAATTAAGTTTTTTTTTTATTTAACGAGGTAGACACAAATAGATACATACTAGAAAACCAAAACTCCCTGTGGACTGTTCTAAAGTTTTAGATGCTATTGCAATCTTTTATCATTGGGACCAAACGGTACCCACAGCCACACACTATTATTACAGCAAACAATTTGAAAAAAAAATAAAGACAAATATAGAATTTTATCAAGAAATCAATTTTATTACCAGATATAATGCATGATTTTGAGATATTAAAATAGGTTTAAGAAACATTGATTTCCCCTAACCAAAGACTACTGCCTTAAAAGTATTTGCAGTAAAATAGTAAAAGTAGACAAACATGCTATGGACCTGCGTGGAACTACAGGTAGCTGAATCCAAGCTGTCTATCCTGCAATTGCATAAAAAACAAGGTTAATCATTCTGTATTATGTCTGACTAAAGGATCTTGTTTTGTGTTTCATTATTGGTAACAGTAAGGCCACTATTCTAAAACTGGGACTGTTTAAAGGGTATCTGTCATAAGAGAAATATGGAGGATGCAACTGCTGACCTTCTTTTGAGAATGCTTGCTTCCTGGCTGTTATGTTGATGCTTTGGCATCAATATGGTCTGAGTTGGTAAACTAGACCAAGAATTCTGAAACCTTTTACACAGCATGTTCTGAGCATGTGGCTCAAAAATACTGAAGACACAGCCAAGCAACTTTATAGAAGGAGGCAACAAATGACAGCCACATACTTTTCTCATGGATAAGTCACCATAAAGTTACTCTCTCTATTATAAGGAAAATTACACTTGTAACTAAAGGTTCTTAATTTGTGTTAATGGTCCTCCTTGTAACATTTTAGTTCTCATCATATTTTAGTCAAGTTGCAGCCATTTTCATTTTTACTTGCTTCTTATTCCAGCTATATCACCAGCTGGTAAAATTTCTGAACAGTGCTTTATTCTTGCTCGTATCTGGTCGATGCTGGTCTCCACATTTTGTTTAGCTATGTGTAGAAGTTCTTTCATCACAGATTCCCCATAGTGAAGTTTCATTGTGCAATATGTATTCCACAATTTATTTACATTTTCTGCATCTGAAAGAAACATTTACCACATTTATTGGTATGGATAAATTAATAATGATGATGTCAAAATATTAATGTTATTTGTTTTCTAAAACTACTGCTCCTGTATCTGTCAAGCATCTCTGAATGCAGTTTGTGACAAGCTCATGTTTTTAAAGACTTATTGATAGTTTAATTACAAGTTTCTATACTTTAGTGCAGTTCATGTGTGTGCTGCTAAAATTTCAAAAGGAAACCTTGACTCATTTTTGAAAATATATTTTCAGAAATGCCAACTTGACTTTCTCTCCATATTCCTGGATGCATAATGGAAAGGAATATATTTTTTAAGGGGGATGTATAGTGGGTTGTACATATTTTCAAACTTTTTCCTTTTTTGGTTAGATAAATATGAAATCATATACTAATATCATGTATTTATATACTGTATCTAACCAGTAAATGGTGCTTTCGGTTTGTTTTCTTTTTTGGGGGATAGAATAGAGAATTGTTAAGTGGGCAACAATTAATTTGCCCCCATCCCCACCCCTTGTTTCTCCGTTTTCCCCTTTCAGCGCATTGCCTCTTTAAGAACCCACATCACCTGACTCGTGGTTCTGGTGGGAAAGTCTTCTCCTTGTGCGGCTTCTAAAGCTCATGCCTGTCCCTATAAAATGCTAGACTTTGCATCAGTTGGCTGGACTCACAGCACAGTGAGCTCTCATTTCTTTCCAGCACTATTTTCCATTTACCTGTTGCCGCATTTTATTAGGCCTGACACCCCTTTAGAAGGGGGAATTAACTTTGGTTTGCATCATTTTCGGTATTATTGTTTGAGTCCTAATGACTGAGCAACTGGTTAATTTATCTTCAATGTTGGTGAGGCGGAACTCCTGCCATATCTTTAGTTTTGCATAGTTGTGCAGGCTCCTCTCTTGTAAAAAAAGCTTACTCTGATTTCACTGAACACTGAGTTTCTTACAGTGTACATTAGAAGCTGCAGAAAGTCAGATACGACCCACCTAATTTCCTAGCTGGAGGTTATCCATGAGCATCTAGCTCTTTCCTCCCCAACCTGACTGGTCCCTTGCCCGCTCCTTTCAATCATTGG